ATATATTTCAGTAGAAAGAAATTAAATAAAAATAAAAAATATAGAAAAATTTGCGGAATAGTTTCTTTCTTTTGTCAAGATGTATATTATTGTTTTTGTGTTAATTTTATTTCTATACATGTAATAAAATGTATTATAATTACAAATTGAACAAATTCAAGTCATGCTTTAGAGTAAGAAGTAACATATTCATAGAAATGCATAAAAAAAGTATATGTCAATGCAAGTAATATATTGCATAAACTGACACATTCATGGATAAATACACAAATAATATGTGACGAAATTATATAATATTTAGTTCATTTGACGAATATTTCCATTATTTATAGACGAAATATTGATCGCCTTTCGATGAATATCGTCGAAATAGTGCTTCGAGTTGGGATCAAGAATTGTTTTCTTCTAGCTATTTTCAAATTTGTATTCCAAGAGGAAAATGAGCTGTAACAAAAGTAGCGAGTGTTTTCGTTGCTGAGTCGTTTTTCATGTCCGTATCGTATCCTCGTTGCAAGAGTAATTTTTCTAAACGAAGAATCTTTTCGCTCTTCGAGGAAAGCAGCGTCCTCTCTGTATGTAAACCACGTGGAACGTAGACCATTAGAATCTTTAATGCGACGTAAAAAGGATACCGTGAACGCTCTTTGTTCTATCTCTTTATTTTATTTAAGAACAGGAGATTTCACTTTCAGAATTTATGTTGATTATTCAGGGAAACGTCATTAGCCTTGAAATGAAAGGCGATCAATTTTACTTTAGAAATATACTTTCAGCTTTGTCTCTTGAAGGATACATCGTCATTAGGGGGAGGGAGAGGGGGGGGGGGACCATGGAACTTTCGTTCTTTTGTTTCTCTTTCATCGCAACGAAGCTTTCTTTTCCCGCTTCGACGACGTCTTCAATACGGTCTTTGTTCGTGCCATTTTCCTTTTCCGCTAAAAACGGTTTCGCCGTGGATCCGATAGAAAAGAAAGTAGAGCGAAAGAAAATTATAAAGGTATACACTTTCCATCTTTGATTCATATCAAATCCGAAAATCTATTTTATACCGACGAAGAATTAATTGGTTTATGACGTTTTTTTTTTATTCGTGTTTCGAGTATAAATAAAATCCAGAACTGTTCGAATAATGGAATATAAATGTTTAATTTGATAATTAAATTTTGATGATCGATTTATCCTTTCATTGTATTCATCTTCTTTTTATTATATATATTGGTGTAAAGTTAAAGAAGTTCCACAGTCCACAATAATTTATAATTATTATCAAAATATGATTACTTAAAAATCAATCTTAATTTTTACTCATCGTTTATATAAAGAAAATCATTGTGCCGTTCGATAAATAATTTAAAATTTTTTAGATAAGATGAGTCTTTTATCTTCTTCGGTTAACCTAATTACAAATAAACTATAAAAGTATTAATCGTTACAAATCGAAGTCGAAAAAATCTCAAAGGAAACTAACGAATTTCTCTTCTTCACTCGCCATCTCAATTTCAATATCTTCGCAAATAGCCATTCGCTTTTGTTTTTTCCCCCCTCTTTTTCATTCGTTTAATAGCGAATAGTTGGCTCGATCGATTCCTAGAGGATTCGTGTGTGTACGTATCCATGCACGAATCAGAAAGGAAATACATTAAAGTTGAACGAATTAGCTTTTACAAATTAAACTTTGAACGTTCGTCCCGAGATAAAATTTAAGGGAGTTGCTCGCTCGTGTATCGTGATGGACTATAAAGCTTGGAACAATGGGACGGAACAGTTTCAATACTGTTTGAAAATTTACTGGGAACGATGTCGTCCGATGCTCTCCGACCACCTCTTAGCGCGATCCACGCGAGAATCTCTCTTTCTCCTTTTTCGAAAGGGAGGTGAACGATGTTCGAGGGTTCGTTAAAGTTTTACCAGAAGGGAGAAAGAACCCTCCAGGAGAATGGACGATTGAAATACGTGGAAACGAATGTTGACGAATCTCGCGTTACGTATATTTTTAATGCATTTTTGTCTTGTTGTATGCTAGTTATTTATTTCTTGTGCGAACGATAATGAGAATATAAATAGGAATTTTTAATTTATACGGGTTTTCTTCTCTTTCTCTATTTAAGAAAAATAATTTGGAAATAAGCAACATTAAAATTTAATTACACTTTTATAAATTATGATAATTAATAAAATATACTTTATAAATTCTCTTTTACATTTAATTTTTAATTGGTATTTTATTTAATTTTATATGTTTTATTGTTATATTTATTCTATTTTGAGATACGTTTAAAATAACAAAATGAAATGGAAAACGATCATAAACTGTAAATATAAATTCGTTTATCAACGAGCGAACAGTTCAAAATTCTTTTTCAATTGTTAGAAGGATTAAAATTATATGTAACTCTTAATTGAGTTGCTTTTCTTTTTCCTTTTTCCTTTTTTTTTTTTTTTATTCACGGAATGTCCTCGCATTTGCTCATTAGTTAAAACAAGTGCCTCGCTCTTGAAAATTAAAGGTTAATGCGTAGGTGAAAGGTTAAAGGTAACATTTCCCTCCTTAAGCTACAAACAACGTTTAAGAGAGCCTCGCTCATCTCTTTTTACCCTTTAATTAAAAACCTTTGATATATAACGCTGAAAAGTTTCCATAAAGAACAGCATCGTCGAAAAATGGTACTTTTACAAAGTGAATCGTGCGCAAGGTACGAGTTTCAAAAAGAATACTCTATCCACGACTCGAGAGAAAGAAAAAAAAGAAGAAGAGGAAGAAAGGAGAAATAGAAAAATCAACATCCGATAAATCTTAAAACGGTGTTTTAACGAAATGAAATGTCCGATTTCTCGTTTTCACCATGTAACGAACGTGCAAATTAATCGAGCAACCTGAAAAATTCTCCCTCCACAGTCCTTTCCTTCCTCCCTCTCTCTCTCTCTTTCTCGACTCGCCGCTGATATTCCAAGCAAATATTTGTCCAGAGAAATCGGATCTACCGGTGTGGTCGGTGTTCCGTATCGATGGAACGAGATACAAATCGACGATTTACCGTCGTACTTACCGTCTGTTTTATCCGCGTTAAATCTCGGATCCCGATTACAGTTACGACGTAGGAAACGGCGTTTAACGATGTCGTTTCCACCGTGTAACTCATTGTTGGATTAATGCAATTATACTGGATATTGTGGGGGAAGGGATGAACGTGTCAAACGATTCTTAGGGGCAATAAAGGTATCCTTGAATAGCATGGCCAACTTGTTGCACCACCTTTTCTTCTTCTTTCTTATTTCTTTCCGGTTCTTGTGCCGTATGGCGTGATAAAATGTTATTGTTGTTACATTTACACGTTTTAAAATTTTCCCCCATTATTTCGATTCTCGGGATGAAATCTTGGAGCGAGTTTCAAGAAAATTTGGGATAGATCACTCGGTATACATTAATTTCATATGCTTTTGCTGAAGCCGAAGTTTTAAAAGAGCATTCGGATTCGATTCAGAATCATAGCAATTCGTGTAAAAATATTTTAAACAACTCATTTAAATTTACATTTTAAAAAAGAACATTTTATTTTCGTTGTATATTTTTTACTTTATTATTCAGCTTTGATATTCTGTTGGTTTAAAATTATAACTTGAAAAAATTATATCATAGTTATTTCTTTTTACATAATTATTCTACATTTTTTTTTTTTTTACTTATTTTCAATCGATAGTTCATTTGTATCTAATCGGATAATAGATTTATTAAATGTTTCATTATTATTACTTCGAATCATTATCTATATCTATTAATGCAAAACTTCAACAGATTCCTTGATAATCTAATTATCGTGTTTCTTGTAAGGCCAAAAATTATTCTTTCGAAAAGTAAAAAGCAAACAAAATATTTAAAAAAGCGATTATAAGATAAATAGAAAAGTAACGAAATATGAAGTATTTAAAAAGATTCTATTCCAACTCATTCTATCGTATCCATATATAACAACACATTTCCACTCTAAGGCTACCTTTCATCTGATAACCAAACTCCCTTTCTGCGAGAGATTTCACGTGAGAGGGTATGTGTCAGATTGGTGCGTTTCACCCCATCGATGGGGTCGCATACCGTGTATATCAGGCAAATGGTCTGGAGAGTAGTCTTTAGCCCTACGAAACGGTCGTAAGGCTGTCACGTCGAGGATAAGCTTAGATGCAGCTCGCAGATAGCTCGATGCCAAGATCGCCCAGCTCCTCGTTGTACAGGATTTCCGGTGTTCGGTAGATCCTCTATACAGATAGGAACTTAATTGGACCGACATAATTTTCTACCCTCAACCGTGGGACTGGATGATCGAGATCTCTTGAATGTTTCTTGCGTGTCAGTGGAGGATTATGAAACACTTTGCTCAACTTCTTGGTCTTATCTCGACGATACGTGAACCGAATTCCCTTATATATCGTTAAATGTACGAAAATTTTCTTATTATTACAACAATCGATTCTTGATTTTATCCTCATGGAAGATGATTTTGCGTTAGAAATTCTTTTTGTTTATTACATTTGATTCGATGATAAAGGGCCAAAGTGAAACCAATTTATTATTAAGATTACATTAATCTTAAGAAAACTTATTGGATCTTAAATAAATACTTCTTGTGAAAATTTTTGTGTAAAAAAAAAAGTATTTATTATTGTAATTCTTCTAGTTTCGCTTATTTAAAATTAATAATATTTATTAAACTTAAAATTCGAACAGTTACATTAAGTGTATCATAAATTCAAATCTAAATGTTGATAGAGAGGAATACACAATCTAGAAATTCAAATTAGGAGATAATCTAATTATTACATGACAAAACAACTCGCAATAAACTAAATCTCTTTAATATCGAACCATAAAGAAGAACTCGTTTCGTAATTATCGCCTTTCTTCAGCAGCATACCTTTAATAATTCAAAATCTGGCAAAATTTCGAAATTCCACCAAATCTCACACTCTTTTAATCTCACGATTGTTCCCTTACTTACTTTTTTCAGGAACGGGCACATGTTGACGCATCGAAACAAGAAGCCGTACGAATGCAAAGCGGAAGGATGCGGCAAGTCGTATTGCGACGCGAGGAGTCTGAGGAGGCACACGGAGAATCATCATGCCGGTAGCAAGGTGAACGAGAGCGTTAGTCCTAGCAGTCCAACCACCGGTCCTCACACACCAAATACACCGGGAAGTAATCCCAGCACGCCGAGCACGCCAGGAGCGACGTCGACGCCCAACGGCCATGGACATCCGGCCTTGAAACAATTGCTCGCCACGGAACCGTCACAGACGCAGCAGCAAAAGGTAAGTGGCGATATATTCTCTGATAACGCGAAAGATAAAACGGAAGTCAGATATACAATATATATAAATAAAAAATATAATTATTCAATTAATTAAATTTTTTATAAGTATAATTATATATATATATATTATATATATATATAGATTAAAGTAAAATTATATAATTATTTAAATATATATAAAAAGAAATTATAATTAATAATTTTAAATTTTATTTATGAATAATAATTTGTTATTTTGATTAAATTAATAATTTATTTGATTTGTTTATTTAATTAATTAAAATTTTAAATTTTAAATTTGTTTTGGTTAAATATAAAAATTATATTATAGTTTTAGAAATTAATTATATTAATAGATTATATATAAAATTTATTAAAAATTTTAAATTATATTTAATAATTAATTCTGAAATGAATGAAAATGGATCAATTGATTTTTCTTTTATTGGTTTGGGCTTATGTTATATTTACTCGTGTTATAATATTTACATCAATGCCATCATTATATATAAGTATATTGTATTTTATTTAATAACATTTCAAAAGTTTGATGCTGTGCAAAAATGAAATGCAGTACTTAAGCAAGTAAGAATTGGAAAAGTAATTAAAAGAAAAGAAATTTCTTTACAAAATCGATTGCTAATTTTTTTTCGTAAAATTTCTAACAACATTTTGCTATATCAAAATAGATTTTACAATATTCTTAATCTTGATTTTTAATCTAACTTCAATGCTGAAGAAAATTGCAACTTAAATCTTTAAAAAATCATATAATTATATTTATTATCAATTTACCATATATAAAAGACAATCTATCTATCAATAATTTAATCCAAAAGTTTGATACATAATATATATATATATATATAAGTATAAATGTATATAAGTATATCGTGACACCGTTTCTTCGAAATTGGCCCGATATTGGTTCGTCTGAGACAGGTTTAAAGGCTTAGAGAAGTAGCGTTTCTCTTGGATAAGCCTGGTCAACGTGGATCTGAGGATCCACCGACGTAAGAGGATTACATTGATCTACCTGATCGTGGAGCATGTTACGCGACCTCTAACTGCCCCTTCATTAATTTTTATACGTCATTCACGATCTTCAATTTGTCCAGATCGGTATAGGATCGTTTGATAAATGGATTCCAGGAATTATATATAACTTCAAAGACAGATTAGGGATTACAATCGAAAAATTCTTTAATAACGTCGCCCGAGAGATCCGTTCCTTCGTTGATCCATTGGTGGATCGGATCAATTGGTAATTATTGGAAAGCTATGAAGTTAAAGTGGGATCGTATAAAATTGTTTCTGTTAATCCTATTGTTCTGTTATTGAAACATTTTTAACTTTTTTAATTGGAAAATTAATGGTACAATATCGTAAAACACGGATATGGGGATTATTACATCTTTATGAATATATTATTTATCATTTCGCATTTTTAAATATTACTCAACGAAGTAATTAAAAGGTCGAAATAGTCATGTTAAGTTATTTCATTATTTCTCGAACAATTCTAATAATTTTCCAATAATCCATAATTTTGGTATCAATTTATTCGTTAGAGAATATTTTCGTTCGAAGAAATGATCGAAATGGTTGAAAATGGTTTAAAAAGAGCAAGCTTCTGTGCTATGCTGTAATGACAATGGAATACAAACAATTAGAATGTATAATTACCAAAGATGTAATAATAAGACGCCTTACGCAAACAGAGTATTAATATTGGAGGCCATTATCAACGCAGTAGAAACTGGTCGTATCAGTCAGCCATCGTTTACACTGGCGTGCAGCTACTAGCAGTGGAGTTGGTTAGCATATAATCAGCCAGCCGTGACAGTAGCAGGAGTTTGTAGAAACTCCAGTAGTTGCTGATCACACAATGAGGACAGTAGCAAATATTAGATACTAAACACAAGCATACACAATAATATATGAATCATACAATCATCGATAATTTATTTATTCACTAAACATCAGCCTTTAATAAAAGCCTTTATATTTTGACCCACAAGAAAAATAGAAAATGTATATAGTTTTGATTTTAAAACTTGACACTTCGTAAAAAAAAAAAAAAAAAAACGTTTCACCATTACATTAAAAGTTCCATTTATCGAAATCAGATTAAATCGACTTCGAGGGAATTCCAATTCGCACAAATACTATTTTAAATTTTCCACATCGTGGGCCGATATTTCGACACAAAAATTCCATTGTGTAACCATTACAAATCCCTCGATTTTTAATCTCTTCATCGCGTTCGAGCCGACGATTATCAATTTTCATAAAAAAAAAAAAAATCCTCTCTTTTTTTAATCCGGAAATACCACGACTCCTGCCCGCCTTTCCGCGAAATCAACCATCCCCTTCGTATCCTAACTTTATTGGCTGCGACGCCAGCGGTGCAGCTGGGTCGGCCATTGTCGGCCGATAAAAGGGCGCGAGAGGAAACGAACTGCTTGCAAGAAGAAGAAGAAGAAGAAGAAGAAGAAGCTCGAGAAAGAGGAGAAGCACGAGAGGAACAAAGAAGGAGGAGGACGAAAGGAGGCGTCGTCCACCGTCCTCCTTGTTCATCCTGGCTTGATCCCCCGTCCACCGTCTTCAGAGCTCGGTGGAAATTAGTTCTCGGCCGTGGAGCACGAAATTATTGCCGCTTTCAAAGTCGCTCGAGCTTACATCTTGGCCTTCTCGCGGGATCCTGTACAGAGCGTGCACGCGTGCGAGGAAGAAAGAGAGCAGTAGTTAAACCGAGACTACAAATCTACGATATTGAGTTAGAAGTAGAAGGCGGCCCCTTGAAGCGGGGCTAATAAAATTTGATGACCGGGAACTTCTCGTAACGAGAATGAGACGCGCGAGATCAGGGGCTCGCTGAGAGAGTGAGAGAGAGAGAGAGGAAAAAAAGGTGGAGGGAAGGTTTGGTCGAATCGGCCGCCTATGAAAACTTCTCAGACACCAACGAGTCCCGTGATTTACGATATTTCATCGGAACGTAACGCAGGGCCACTCTTATCCGAGTGGTTATTGTCGAGTTCCTTGTGAGCCAGGTGTGCGGGAACCGGGGTATTTTCATCTTCTGATTTCTCTTCTTTCTCTTCTTCCCTCATCTTTCATTTTTCTTGCTTTTTTTGGGGAGGGGGGAGGACTGTCAAGACACATGGGCTACAGCGATGTGTATTTATCTTGGCGGATTTATCTTTATTTGAAGCAAAAAATTTTCTATTTTCTATTCTTGAGGAATTTTTGAGCGTGCTGACGTTTCGAATAACGTTATCTTATGTATCGATGTAAGATTGGAGATCCAATATTGGATTTTATTTTCTCGTTTTCATTTGTAAATGATATTCCAATTAATCGAGAAAAATATATATATAAAGAATTTACTTGCTATATATATTTCTATTTTTTTTCCTTCATTGAATAGAAGATCTGGAAGATAATATTTATTCCGCCACAAGACTGATTTGGCACATTTAGTCTTGCTTTCTTATTTGATTTCCATTCTTATTCACTGGAGGCTAAAATTTCCTGAATATTCGTGAAAGGCACGTTTCCCGTTTCGTTTGCTCAGGTACAATGGCTGACGCAAGAAATGCAAAGTGGAAAAATATCACCAGAAGCGTAAAATCGCTTGAAACATCAGTCACGAATGCAAAAAAAGTTTATGTATGCGCTGTGAATATGTACTAAAAATGTAAAAATGTTGAAATATTAAGAGTCTCCTGCTATAATATCGAACGAATACAAATTAAGCAATTATAAGAGATAAAGCTACGACTCGAAGAATAATCTTCATCAGAATAATCTTACGGATATAATACGAATAAGACAAAAAGAATTAATTTATATACATATAGGGAAGAATTTCGAAGTTCTTTCCACGCGAGATTTTATTAAAATTCTTGCCCCAGGATACTTGCCATTGCAGTTATAACGAGAGATAATTTCATTTATCAAGGAATCAAAGATCTCGGGAAACAAGGGTGGCGCGTGAATCCAGGTGAAAGAGGAGCGGGGTTCGTCGCGTGAAATCCATTCAAGGGTGGAGATGAGCGAGTGGAAGGGACGTTGTCAGTGATTCGACATCAAAAGGCGTCTGTCGGTCATTCAACCGGCTCCCTGATTGCACGGTAAAGGCAGGGTGTCTTAGAAATCACGGTTATCGCGGTAGAAAATCACTTTCTTGCTCGCGGAAGCGTGCACGGCCGACAAAAGCGGCAAAGGGCAAGGTGAGCCAAGGGTTCAGAGCCGGACCTGTACCCTCAGAACGTGGCATCGAATTAGATATTGTCTTTCGTGCGACCACCTCTTCGTTGGTCAACCGCCATTAATTCGCTAATTTTCGATATCGATGAGAAATCCCTTCCCTTTAACTCGAGTGATTTGTGCCGTTCAGAATAATAGCAACGATCTATAACAAGATAAAAATAATTATATTCATTTTGAGAAATGAATAATAAGAGTAATTGCATTACTATTGTTGTGAATTATTTTCATCAAAGTTTTTTTAAAGTCAACTTATGAATTCTATTAATTGGCTCAATAATGAATCAGAAATCATGAAAAAAATTCTGCAAATAGTTTGCATGTAATGCTCAAGATATTTCAAGGTATTTGAAATAAAATAATTATAATTATTATCTCTGGCACAGAGTTTTCAGTCAATATAAAATTAAAAATACTTTTTAAATAATGAGAAAAAGTAAATACAAAAATAATTTAAACGGTTTCATCGGTAAATGTCCTGTTATTAAATTATATCGTGAAAAGCATCAATATTTCTTTTGTTACATTTTCAGCTATAAATACTTTTATGCGTGTTGGATGTAAATTAAAGTAAATTAAATGCGTTATATTTTAACATAGCTCAAAAACTACAATACTTTAAAAGAATTTCGTATTGTTGCTTGACTGAAAATTTTTTACCAGAAGTAAAATATTCGTGAGACATCTTTTGGAGAGTCGATTCTCAAAAATTCTCGAAAGAAATAC